GGAGACTGGAGGGAGATGGGGAGTGAATTACTATTAGTACGGGGTTGTATGTATAGCAGGGAGACTGGAGGGAGATGGGGAGTGAATTACTATTAATACAGGATGGAAGAAAAGTTCTAAAACTGATTGTGGTAGTCATTGTACAACCCTTCTTGATGTGATTAAACGGTTGAATTGTATGATATGTGCATGATGTGCCAATAAAACTGTTGGATGGGGCGGGGAAGTGGTGCTGAGGATGCAGGGCCAGGCCCTCTGGTAAACTCAGATCAAAGCTCTGGTTTTCTTCCTTCCCCTAAAGTTGGATAGAGAAGAAAAGGAAGTTGAGGAGCTTGTTGAGCCCTGCCTGCTCCCATACATGATTCCTCCCTCTCACACACACACACACACACACACACACACACACACACACACACTTGCAGTTTCACTTTCCACAGTTTTAGTTACCCATGGTCAAACTATCAAACTGGCTGTAAAATGTTCAATAAATCGTGTGCTGAAGCCTTGTGCCATCTCAGTCCATTCCAATCAGGTTGTGAATCACCCCTTTGTCCAGCATGATTCACATTGCAGACACTCCCTGGCCTCTACTTACTGTTGTTAATCTCTTCCTGGGCCAAATTAGTGAATTAAATTGTATTGTATGTCTATTTGTATAGGACAAAATGTAGTCTATGTAGGGTTTAGTACTATGTGATGTTTCAGGGATCAGCATGTTGGAACAGAAAGAGAGACTGCTGTGTCTACCTAAAGAGTTAGGCCAGACTGTCTAGAGAAACAAAACCTGAGACAATCATCTAAGAAGTTTGTGTCAAGAAAGCATCCCAGCCCAGTTCAACTTAAGCCTATGGGTCCAATGCTAGCTGGACCTCTCTTCAAACTCACTAGCTGCAGGCCGATGATGAAGAAAGGTGAGGAGGGATGCAGGAAGGTCACAGGCTAGTGGGTGTATAGACATGTGGATCCACGGTAGATGGAAACATGACAGGGACAGGCAGCTGACATGGGGCCACCCCTGAAGGCAGGCACAGAGTTCCAGTGAAATACCAGCAAAGAGGCAGGTGAAGCATCAGAGAGAGGAGAGGGGCCCCTAGTGTGTCTTGTAAAAAGGTCACACCTCCCAGAAGGCATCATCAGGCTGTGACCTGATTGACAGATATTGGACTCCACTCCACAAGTGCAAGTTGGCATAAAATTGAACTACTACACCTACTGAATAGTATACATAAAAAAAGCAAACCAGGTGCCGTGGATGGCTCCAGCTCATGAAAACATCATATGTGTCAGAGTGGACCTGTGCTGCATAGGGTTTTCAAAGGATGATTTTTCAGAAAGTTATTGTTGTTCTTGATGTTAGGTACCATTGAGTCCGTTCCAACCCATGGTGACCGTGTGCACAACAGAACAAAACACTGCACCATCTTCATATTTCTTGCTATGCTTGAGCCCATTGTTGCAGCCACGGTGTCAGTCCATCTCCTCAAGGTCTTCCTCTCCTTTGCTGCCTCTCTACTTTTCCAAACATGATGTCCTTCTCTGGGGACTGGTCTTTCCCAACACATGTAATAGATCACCAGGATTTTCTCTCAAGGTGCCTCTGAATGGACTTGAACCTCTGGCCTTTAGATTAGCAGCCAAGCCCACTAAGCATTGTACCATCCGATGACTCCCATAAATGCATACAGACACATACCCACATGTACTTAGCTCTCCCTCACCTCAATCCACACATCAGCTTCTTCTATTAGGAGGTATGTTTCTAGCAAAATGCTGATGCAGATCCTTTCAAGTAGCTTTTGTAGAAGTAAAAGGCAAAATCCTGAAGGGAGGGGAGAAGGAACGAGGGAGAACTAACTTTAATTGCACACCTAGTGTGTGTCGGACACTGCACACGTCAGCTCATTTCATTCTCCCAATTGGTCTGTGATGCAGTACTAATTAATCCTGAGCTATCACCAAGGAACCAAAAGCTGACTCACCGCCATCCAGTGAGTTCTGACTCGTTTGGCAACAGAGCCTTTCAAAGAATTGATTTGCTTCTCTAAGTGGCTTAACCAATCTGCTTCACTCTGAAGTTCATGCTTTCCTACCAGAACACAAAGCAGAACATTTCATTTCAGGCCATGTCAAAATAAACAAATAGTTCTCAAAGGACCAATCATGTCGCTTTTTGATCCCTCTTGTAACCAGTTGAGCGAGACGTCCTTCATCCACTGTGCAGGAAGCAAATAGCAACCTTGTCTCAACCCACTGCCATCAAGTTGATTCCGACTCACAGGGACCCCATGGGGGTTTTTTTAGGGAGCAAATTTGCCAGGTCTTTCTTCCATGAAAGACTGGTTGGGTTCAACTGACAACCTTTTACTTAGCAGTTGAACAGAGCTCATCATCACTGAGCCATCCAGGACTCTTTTCTTTGTGGGTAATGGGTCCATAAAGAACCTCAGTAATGAATCCTAAATAGGTAACTCGATGACCTGAAATATGAAATCCAGGAAATCTTTTATTCAAAGCAAGAGATAAAATAGAATGAGTGGCAATCCTAAAATAACAATAGTTAATAATAATGAGGTAGTATGTGCTCAGCATTCTCCATGTATTAAACCATTCAGTTCTCACCATTCCATCGGGGTAGGAGCCATGTGTCTGTTATCTTGCAGATGAGGACATGGAAGTACTGAGTGTATTATACAGAATTGACTCATTTTCCTCCAAACACTTCTTGAAATTGAGTGCTTAGAAGAATACTTGGTATTATAATCAAGACTATGTGAGGGTAAACCATTTTTTATTTTATATATATATAAAATATATATATAAATATAGAAATTTCTATATATATAGAAATGGAAGTACTGAGTGTATTATACAGAATTGACTTATTTTCTTCCAAACACTTCTTGAAATTGAGTGCTTAGAAGAATACTTGGTATTACAATCAAGACTATGTGAGGGTAAACCATTTATATATATAAAATACATATAAATATATATAAATATATATATATATATATATGATATATATATATCATAAAGAGTTTTAAAAATCTCAGAAACTCACAGGGGTAATTCTAACCTGTCCTATAGGATCACTATGGACCGGCGTTGACTCAATGGCAGTGAGTTTGTTTTGTTTTGTTTCCTACGATAAATCTAGAAGTGGAATTCCTAGGTCGACTCGTATTCATGTTAAAATTGTGGTAAATATTAGCTAACGGTCCTCCAGGAATGTCGTATATTTCCTCTGACATCAGTGCTATTGGATCAACCCCAAGCTGAGGAGGCACAGGGGATTCCTGCGGATCTCAAGCCTGCCTGGGCTCAGCGTAGTGGGCTCTGAAAGATGGCTGCTCACAACCAGGCGGGAGCTAGAGGCAGGAAGACTCAGAGTCCCTACTCTTACCTTGAGCACAGTGGGAGATCTCATTCAAGGCCCACGATTTCACAGATTTACAGCCATGATTGGCCTCTATGGCTGGGCTTCTCTAAACCACCAATTTGTGTTTGAAAGACAGGTTGCACTTAGTTTGGATTCAAATTCAGGTGCTTCTCTGGACTGGGGTCAAGTCTAGATCTCGCCAGGTTGCTTGACCTTAAGACACAGGGCAGAGCGTGTCTGGGAGTACCATGATATTTCTTGCTTTACATTTCAAAGACAAGTAGCCCAGCAAGGGTAAGGAAGGATCTTACCTCCCTATGATGTTGGTACTTATCGGGCCAGCTCACACCCCTAGTAATGAATTCAGAACCAATAGCAGATAACATGCTGTGTCTGACACCCTCAAGTCTCTCTCTCCCCCAGCTCTCCATCCATGAGACGGACGACCCCGATGACAATCGCTTCCTCGTGGTGATGAAAGGGGCCCCTGAGAGGATCTTAGAGAAGTGCAGCACCATCATGATCAACGGCCAAGAGCAGCCCCTGGACGAGAGCTCAGCGGAGGCCTTCCACACAGCCTACATGGAGCTCGGAGGCCGGGGCGAGCGCGTGCTGGGTGAGCTCCTTAGAATAGAATTCGTATCCATCACGCAATAGATGCAAGATTCCGATCCTGGATCAGGACACAAGATGAGACAGGCAACTCTGAGTAATAAATTATTTAATAGAGATGGCATCCACATAAATAATCCTAAGAAGAAGGCAGTAAACATTATAGTAAATGTTAGGTTTCTCAGGTTAGAAATACCTTGGATCCTTGGCTTCCACGAGAAAGAATTCACGCTGAAGCCTGGATTGTGATCCAAGTGGGATTTTATGCGGGATAGAAAGGGTTTCCAGTTTTATAGGGGCATCCTGAGGGCACTTCACACCCACATGTGGAAACCTGAGGCCAGAGAAAACGGCAGCACAGCCAGGGAGCAGCTGGAAAAGAGGGCTGTGGTCTCGAAAGTTTCTGGCTTTTCAGGGCCCTCTGCTGGGAGGGGTGGTCGATGGTCCTGGTTGACCCCATTGGCTGAATTAAGCTCCCTGGCCCAGATTGGGGTGCTCCCAGGTGTACTGGCTTCCTGTCTCAAAGGCCTGGATGTAAACATGCCCTCTAGCTTTTGTGGCTGGCTGGGCTCTCCTGATTCTCTGCAGCAATCTCCTGTCGGGGTGCCTTGGCATAGAGAGGGACACCTCCCTATCTGGCTCCCTAACATAAACATACAAGAAAGTGTTATGACAAAACAGGTACCGGTGGGGTTCCTTCCAATAAGTGAAGTCAGGGGAGATTTGAAGGAAGGAATTACATTTTAAACTGGGATTTGAATGACAGACAACAGTTTGAAGGGGGAGTTGGGAAAAGTGTTGAAGGAAGAGAAAACCGCCTGAGGCAAAGCCCAAGGGCTAGACAGAGAAGGTGGTTAATCATTGCTGAGCTGACCTGCCAGGGCTGGGTGTTGTAGGGGACACGACGAAGCCCCAAACTCCAACCCCACTGCCATTGAGTTGATGCTGACTCCTAGCAATCCTATAGAACAGGGTAGAACTGCCCCGGAGAGCTTCTGAAATGGTAACTCTTTACAGGAGTAGAAAGCCCCATCTTTCCCCTGAGGAGTTGCTGGTGGTTTCGAACAGTAGACCTTGGGTTAGCAACCCAGTGCATAACCGCTATGCCACCAGAGCTCCTTGAAGGCACATAGTCACAGGACACAGATGAGAAAGCTAGACTGAATGACGGAGTGAAGAATTAGGTTTTCACTCTGCTGTTAGTGGAGAACTGTTGACTTCTTTCCCTAAGGAGTGAGCTGATCAAAGTTCTGTGTTTATCCGAATAGTTTTTGGCAGTAAAATGACTTAACTGGAGAGGACAGGGAGGGGTACAAATAGGGCGTGGCTCTGCTCACTCATTCAGATGAAAGAGGATGGGAATTTGCTAGGAGATGATAGGAATGTGAGGCAGGGGTCAGATGCAAGAGACTTCATAAATTGATAAGACATAGTAGCTAATTAGAGGAGACAAGTGTGTTTGAAAAAATATTTACATGATTAGGAAAAGCTGTAATGCCAGTAACAGATACAAAACCAAAAAGCCAAACTCTCTGTCCTTGAGGCAATTCCAACTCATGGCAACCCTACAGGACAGGCTGGAACTTCCCCTGAAGGTCTCCATGACTGTAACTCGATGGGCATGTAAAAAGCCCCATCTATCTCCTGTGGAGCGGCTGGTGATTTTGAACTGCTGACCTTGTGGTTAATGCAGCTCAACATGTAACCACTACGCCACCAAGCTCCTACTGAAATACAGGGGTGCTTTAAAATGTTTGTAGGGGGAAAAATGTCATTATCTTTTAATTACACTTTTCCATGAACTTTCTAAGGACCCACATAGAGAATGTTGGAAGGAACCCTAAAATAAAGTGACCAGATTGATTTTAACATTGGTAAAGCGGGACACCATTGATAAAACTCATATCCTGGCGAAATAGCCACATAGCAGCCGGAAACCTAATACAGTATACCCTAGCTTGTCGTGCATTCTTTCAAAAAATCGGGACTTTTTAAAAACACCGCGGGACACGGGAAAAATTGTTAAAAATTGGGACTGTCCCGCCAAAAGCAGGACGTCTGGTCACCTTACCCTAGAAGTATCTTGGAAATGTAGAGGAGCCTATCCGTGGTTAAGTTGTTGGGGGACAACATGCTAAATTGTGTGAATCATGGGATAATCAAAGAACACCTGCGCAAAACAACAAAATGATAACATCAAGGTAATGGAACTTAAGAGTTAATGTTAAGAGTCATGGAACATTAAAGAGCTCACCAGTTGATCGTGGGTATCTGTGGAATATGTGTTTCTTGAATTTGAAAAATAGATAGAATGCATAAGGGAGATGATCCTGGTCTTTAAATACTCTTCAGCCCTGGGATAACGCCTTTGTAGCACAGAATGGATACCCAATGGATGAGAGTAGTTCAAGGAACCTCTAGTTTATTGAAATGAATGTAAATGGTGAAGCATGTTGGGAATAACTTTAACGTAAAAGCTAAGGGGCAGATCACACAATCTTAGAAATCCCTTCTACCTCAGCTTGTGAGACAACATCAAGAAATGATACCCCATTCCTAAGAGTCCTTCTCTCATGCTAATCTTTATTAAGGACAAGCCCTTCCCACCCCAAAACCTTCCTCCTTTCCCAGAAAACCATCTGTTCCTGATCCAGCTCCACGGGCACTTTTTGTAAGCTCCAGTCGTAGAGCTGTGCTCTGTAGTACTGACTATGCCTTATCCTGCTTTTATCTTTTTTATCTTTCTGACCACCAAACAACATCTTCACAATGAAAGGCTTGGATTTCATATCTATAGAATATTACATGGAGCCTAATGGGCACAAAGTGATTCTTAGATGATAAAGTCTTTCCTAAACTGGTACATTATAAAATTGAAGGAATGAAACAATTCTCGTGTACAATAATTCTCACAATAATTTTAGTACCATAATGCTGAAATACTAAAAGACTATGAACATATTTTATTAGGGCGGGGTATCAAATCTTATCTTAGTTTCATTAACTCCCAAATTCATGCCTATTCCAGGTTTCTGTCCCCTCTACCTGCCAGCAGAGGAGTTTCCAGAAACGTATTCATTTGACATAGACGCCATGAACTTCCCCACCTCCAGCCTCTGCTTCGTGGGGCTCTTGTCTCTCATCGATCCTCCCCGGTCCACTGTGCCGGATGCAATCACCAAATGCCGGAGTGCTGGCATCAAGGTGGGAGTTCTTTTCCTGACTGAAGAAGTCCCCTGCTATGTGCTGTATCTCTGTGTAACAGCTGGTGTCATGGAAGAGGGTCAATATTTACATTTCTTCATGCAACTACCATCATTTCCCTTGTGTTTTGTTTAACACTTCTTTGTGTGAATTGGGTGAAGGTTGACCGAGAGGACCATCAGTTTCACACTGAACAATTCATACACATTTTTTCATCTTATTGGTTGCAACCAACGTCTTCAATACAGCATCACTTATCCCACTTCTTCCCTGTGTTTTCTGTTTCCACTCCTTCTTCTTTGCTAGCCCTTCTGAACATTGTCCTGAGGTAAATGCTGCCCTTTGAGCTCACATAGGTGATGATTCTAAGGTGCATGGTACCACCTTATAGGCCTGCTGGTTGTCTAGCTGATATTTGGGTCATTGTGAGTTCCATTCCAGATTGAAGGGTGAAGAATTCAACTTCAGTCAGGGATGCCACCAGTCTATGGGACGTAGTTTCAGGTGTTCCACCAGTCTCAATCTGATCAGTAAATCTGGTCTTTTTTTTTTTCTTAATTATTTTTGAGTTTTGTTCCACATTTCTCTCCCATTATATCTAGGATTTCTAATGCAATCCTATTCAGGACAGTTGGTGGTGGTAGCCAGGCACCATCTAGTTCTTCTGGTCTCAGGGTTGTGAAAACCGATGTTTGCATGGTCTATTAATTCATTGGACTAATTGCTTCCATGTGTCTTTGATTTTCATTAATCCTATTTCTTTACAACTTCATTTTTTTATACTGTCTTCCTTTTCACCCAAGTTGAATCTGCTGGACTTCATCTCCATTTGGAAGTTCTGTAACTATACTATTCCTTCTATTTACATTGTGACTGCCTTGGTTATAAATTGATACCTGGTTTCCTATTTTCCATCTTGCAGGTTTGTTTTATTTTGGATTCTTCTATATCTGGGTTGAATTCTGGGTGGTGCTGTCATATATGTAAATGTCAGGTTGTTAGTTTTTTATCTGAAAAACTCCCTTTAGTATTTCTTAGAAGTTTGGTCTGGATTTTTCAAATTCTTTGAATTCATTTTTATCTTGAAATGTTCTAATCTCACTATTGTGTTTGAGAGAAAATTTTTCCGAGCATATAATTCTTGGTTGGTAATTTTTTTCTTTCAGGGTTTTATATATGTCATTGCATTGCCTTCTTACCTGCATGGTTTCTGCTGTGAAAATCGAGTTTAGTCTCATTGTCTCTCCTTGTTTTTTTATTTCAGAAAGTTTGAGTATGATATTTCTTGAGGGTTTTATGTAGGGTCTGTTCTTTTTGTGATTCATACAGTTTCTTGAATGCTTATTTTCTTGTCTTTCATGATATTCAGGAGTTTTTCTTCTAAAAACTCTTCAGCAATAATCTCTGTACTTTTTGTTTTTTCTTCCTATTCTGAAATGCCAACCACATGAAAAGTTTTCTCTTGGTGATATCCCACGTAATTCTTTGGTTTTCTTCAGACTTTTCGTTGTTGTTTTGTTGTTCTTCTAGCAGATGAGCAATGATAAATGTCTTGTCTTCAAGGTCGCTAATTCAATATTTAAGTGATTCAGTTCTAGTCCTTTTCCTTTTCAATATATTATCCATTGCGGAAATAGCATTAATTAATTGGATTTTTTGGCTGTTATTTTAATGGTTACTAATGTCTCATTTATTGTTTTTGTAATGTTTCCAGGAATTCTTTTCGTTTTTTTTTTTCATGTTTCCTTGATTTCTCCTACAGTTTTCTTGGCCTTCAATTAATTAAAGAACCCTAAATACCACGCTTTTGAATTCTTTATAAGACACTTCCTATGCCATTTCTTCCTCAGAAAGCGTATCTGGGTCTATATTTTAATCACTTCTCTGAGTCATTCTACCTTATTTCTTCATGTGCACTGAAATTGTCTAGTGTCTAGGGGGTATGGTGATTGATATTTGTATTTTTTAATTAAAAAATAATTTTATTGGGGGCCCGTGCAACACTTACAACAATCCATACATACATCCATTGTGTCAAGCACATTTGTTGCCATCATCCTCAAAACATTTGCTTTCTACTTGAGCCCTTGGTATCAGCTCCTCATTTTTCCCCTCCTACCATGGTCCCCCTTCCTCATGAACCCTTGATAATTTATAAATTATTATTATTATTTTGTCATATCTTACACTGTCCAATGTCTCCCTTCACCTTAAAAAAAATTTTTTTAAGCATTTTATTGGGAGCTCTTATAGATATCATATCATGCCATAGTTCAATCATATCCAGCAGTATTGTACAATTGCTACCACACTCAGTTTCAAAACATTTTCTTTCTTCTTGAACTCCTTGATATCAGCTCCCCTTTATCCCCTCCCTCCCCCGCCCTACCCCTTTATTTTAATTTTTCCCCTATAATAATGTTTTGTTTTCTTTGACATATCTTACACAACCCAAAGTGGTATTTGTATTTAATTGGTGATCATATGCTGGTATGTACTTAACCACTCACCACTAGTCTTCTGGTGGGTGTAATAAGGAATGTACATGCGTACCCAGTTCTCCGTCCCTGTAGTACAATTCAGGGTGGTTTGGCCAGTGGTTGTAGGTGATCAGGCAGTACAGGAGCTGGTAGTGTTCCTCATCCAGCTCGTGGAGATCTGAATATGCTTATCATTTGTTGCTGTCTCCTGTTTGATGGGACATAGAGCAAGAGAACATTGTAAAAATGAGATTTTAAAAATAAGAGTAGCGGGAAAGCAGCAAGAAATAATAATTTAACTTTACTATTACCAGCCAATAATGTGTCAGGCCACTGTGCCAATGTAATACTGCTTACAAAATTTCAATATGGCCTTACTGCATCAGACTATCCAAAAGCTCCTCTGTTTGTCTCCTCTCTGGCCACTTTTGTTCAGTTTCTTCTCCTCATTGATAGTCAATTCACTTTTCTATCCTTTCTTCTGAAGCTCGGGCTCCAGGATTATTGTCCATAATTATTTCATTAGGGTCTCTGATGTCTTTGTTGTAGGATGTCTGTGTAGAGTGGCTTCCTAGTTCACTATCTTACCACACCATAATTTCACATACTTAGTATTTTGGTAACTGTCCTCTGGAAACAAAATGATTGCATCTATGTGAAATAGAGTACAACATTAATTGCAGAAAGACTAAAGCTAAAATACGGAGAGGCTATATTTTATACAAGACCATGATAAAGAACTAAAGGTTTTATTGCCTCTTTTTAAAAAAGCATTTTATTAGGGGCACATACAACTCTTATCACAATCCATACATAAATCAATTGTGTAAAGCACATTTGTGTATTCATTGTCCTCATCATTCTCAAAACATTTGCTCTCCACCTAAGCCCCTGGGGTTTTATTGCTTCTTAATCTTGAGGCCCATCCTCTAAAATCACATTCATTTTCACAACACTTGAGCCAAAATTGTGTTCTAGCAGCATATTAACAGGAAGACTGTTGAAGAAACATGGCACCACTCCAAATAGTCATTGCTTGTCCCTTTTTTACAAATAATATGAAAGGAAGAGGCTTTAATGTCAGAGGAGACAATGTAGGAAGCTGAGGACAAGGGTTGATTCAACAGGATCAGTGTGTCTTTATATGTCTTAAATCAAGACTTACCACAAGGGTGGACCATGATAGTCACAAGCCATATTCTTCCACGGCACGGAAAAGCACTAGTGAACAATATGGAACTGCTCCTACTGCAGCTGCTCCTCATTCCTCACTGTCCGCCTGCCTTCTTCATTATGTTCTAGGTGATCATGGTGACAGGTGACCATCCCATCACAGCCAAAGCCATCGCCAGGAGTGTGGGTATCATTTCAGCCAACAGCGAGACAGCGGATGACACGGCAAAACGTCTCAACATTGCTGTGGAGCAAGTGAACCAACGGTGAGCACAGAGCCAGTAGAGCAGAAACTGGAGTTCTTACACAGGGCCCAGGGGGAAACAAAGTGCTATGTGTTCTGGAGAAAATCACCTTCTGGTGAAACGCCCACTTAGGGTGACACTGTAATGATGATCTATAGTTCACACCCCCATTTATTCACAGACAACTTTACTAAGCACCTAATGTATGCCAGGCACTGTATCATGCTTATGAATATCCATTCTTTTGTCTAAATGTCAAAGTCCCAGGAATGATCTGAAAGCAAACGCCCAGTTCAGAGTGAGAAAAATAGAAACAAAGTGTTTATGTGAAACTAGTTGTCATCGATCTAGTTGTATAACCAGGACTATTAAGAACCAATCAGATTTCATCCACTCCCTAGTGAGCATTTTGGGTATTTTTATTCAATTGGATTCATAACGTGCAGTATATAAATACATACTTTATTATCTTTTTATTTGGGCATAAATAGAAGAAGATCTTCCCAAAGAGACCCTTAATTTTTTCCTTATTCCTTTTCATTCTTCTAAGAATCTTTTATCTATCCATCTAGTCATTCATCTGCTTATTTATTAATTCTTCTAACAATTATCTGCTGAATGCCAACTATGTATTAGGCACTGTGTGAAATACTGTTACTATAATAGCAAACAGGACTGACACTCTCCCTGCCCTTGGGGAGTTTTCATTCTAGCCAGGAACACAGAGACAAAACAAAGCTGAATGTTGTATGATGCGCATAATAAAGGAGATATGCAGGGAAGTATTGGGGCTACAAGTGGGTAGAGTCTAACCTGGACTGGGGTAACCCAAAGAGGCTTCCATCATGTGCTGTAAATAATTAAAATGCATCAAAAATGTCAACCAACGTCTCAAGAATAAATGCTTTGTTCTACTTGCATGCTCATAGGTGGAAGAGGGAAAGCCTAGTGGTCCTCTTTTAGGTGATGCAAGTATTTATGTTCTCTAGGGACATAGAGATGTCAGAGAATATGTTCTGACTAGGGGAACAAAAAACCAAGTCAAAAATGACCTAACAGAATTACAGGCCCTGAGCATTGCAACTATACCAAAAATCTAAGTGCCTCCAAGGCTTCTTTGTATAAGTCATGCTTACAGAGCCAGATTTTGTTTATTTGGTCTTTAAAAGATTATAGGATCATTTGCTTTCATACCAGTCACCTCACTTAATGGAGAATGAGACGGATGCTTTTGTGAATGCTTCCATCCAATCACTTTATCAGATCAAGTTCATGATGGCATAATCGCTATACTTTAGAAGCGATAAGAGGAAGGGTCTTGCCTTACAGATGCGAGAGGGTTTCAAAATGTATGAGGAAATTTATCTTTTCATTCCATTTTTAAGTTCTCCTAGTAGGGTCCCAGGTCATGCATAGATGGGCTTATTCAAAAAAAATGTGTTTAACTGTTTCTGCAATCATTAGATGGCTGTAGACAAGTTATCTCAGTAAATCATTTGTTTTAGTCTCTTTGGGTGTCTTTTAAAAAATAGACCATTTAGAACAGAGGTTTCTGAAGGAATGTGCTGGCCAGTTAAATTCAAGTCAGAGAAGTCTGCTCAGAAGGTGTCTGAGATCGTTCTGTGGGATTCCAAAGTGGTCATCTTGATTGATTTTTCTCAAAGGGCCCAGGATGACCGGGGGCATATTGTGAAGAAGTTTAAGAAAACTAAAGATTGCATTGATAAGAAAGAGGTCAGGCATCATCAGAACAAAAAATCTTACCATAGTGAATGAGGGGGGTGCGGTGCGGAGTGGAGACCCAAAGCCCATTTGTAGGTCACTGGACATCCCCTTGCAGAGGGGGAGGAGACCAGCCAGTCAGGGTGCGATGTAGCAATGATGAAAAATACAACTTCCCTCTAGTTCCTAAATGTTTCCTCCCCGCTCCCACTATCATGACATGAATTTGACCTTGCAAGTCTGGCTAGACCAGAGGATGTACACTGGTACAGA